TTCTATATATTTTTAATTCATTATGGTATTACAAGGGCCAATTTTACACAATCCCAAAATATTTTATAATAAGTACAAAACCATCGTTACAGAATTCTTCAACTTTTATCCTGCATAATGGACACTTCGGGTGATATTCATTTTTGTTACTAATAATATTAGCACACAATATACCTATTCTGTAAAGGCAAGGTTTTAATACAACGTGTCGAAGTTCTTTTTTTCATGCACATCATTCTATTAACTCTAAATGTTAAATATAAGGTTAAAGTAAACTCAAAAATAATAATAATAATAATAAAATAATAATAGTGACCAACATAATTTATATTCCCATAATCACTAAATTTCCCTTAATGATTTTTAAAAAAAAATGTATTTCTATTTTCAAAATTTCCAAATCACTTTTGTATTTTCTCAAATTTGTAAATTTTTCAATTCAGTTTCATCATATTTAAATTTTTTCTTATTAAATTTAGTTTATTGTTTTGGTTAAAGTTAATTAATGATGGTTTAACATTTTTATTATTGTAGTTTTTTGAAGCTGATTAGTTTTATTTTTACAAAAAAGAAAAACTATCTACAGTATTTAGGAAAATGAGTGTCTTAACACATTTCTATCATCCTGTTTGTCCAGTTATAGAAAAAATTTATTGAAAAGGGACTATCGTTATTCATTCTCATTTAGTTGATTATCCAAGTTTGATACATTTTGAGTTTATTATTTTTTAGTTTTAAATTAATAATACAGTATTAATTTAAAAACCGAAGTTATTGTTATTTTGTAAAGATAAATTATATTTTTAAAGTAATTACCTATATTTTTATAACGTAATATTGGTTCTCTGCATAATGGACATTTAGTACCATTTTTTAGTGATAGCTCATTAGCACTATTATTGCATATTTTATGATAGCAAATTTATGATTAGCATTTTATGATGGGCCAATTTTACACAAACCCATAATATTTTATAATAAATACAAACCATCATGACATAATTCTTCAATTTTTGCGCGGCATATTGGACACTTCGGAAGATATTCACTTTTATTACTAATAAAATTAGCACAGACCTTACCTATTCTGTGAAGGCAAGGTTTTAATACAACGTGTCGAAGTTCTTATTTGCATGCACATCTTTCTATTAATTCTAAATGTTATATACAAGGTTAAAGTTAACTAGAAAATAGTGTTTATTTAATAAATGTAATAATACTTAAATATCTTTAGCGATGTAAAAATTATAGCTCTCTAAACTACATTGCATATTTTTAAGATTAGTTGATTTTTCTAATTATAGTTAAAGCATCAATTATTATGATAAAAATACTTATTCATGTGGTTAAATTTATAAAAAGGTCCTCTATAATTTTTAGTGTTTTAGTTCTCATAAACAATATTTCAAAATTTTTATATAATTTATTATTTCTACATATATTATTTACTATAATTGATTGGTCCGATGCGAAGTTGAGAAGATATTAATTTTACCATGATGTGTTTATTTATTTTTTTGTGTCTGTCACTACTTTTTCTTAGCTCTCCTTGGACCGATTTCTTTTATCAATACGTCAAAAGATTACAAATCGTATCTAGTTGAAGACATTACCCTTAAAAATTGAAAAATTTTCCCTCGTTCCCCGCAAATGGGGGAAATCTCAAAAAAATTACAAATTTAAAAATCGGTAAATTTTGTCTTTTTTTTCTTAAAACTTCCATAACTTTTTCAAAAATAAACAAATCAACATAATTTTTTTTTATACTAAAACCTTAGATATTTCTCTTTTATTTGTTAACATTTTTTTGAAAATTTAACACTTAACCTGCTCATTGGGGGGGATTTAAAATAGTAACTTTTTTACAAAAATTAACTTTTTCAACTTAATTTTTGAAAATGTTCCGGAAATACTGCGTCTTTCAAACATATATCAAATTAAAATTTATTTTATGTACTATAAAATGAGAAAACCCAGCACAGTGGGGTGGCGGCACAGTGGGGTCGTAGCATAGTTGGGTCCAGTATAGATGATATCTGACAGTGATTAAAATCACTATCATAAAAAACGCTTCGATGCAAATCTGTAGATAGTGTTTAATTTCAAAAAAAAAAATTTGTTAAAATAGCATACTTTTGAATATGGTAGCCATTTGTGCATAGAAGATAGGTCGTCGGGACAAATTTTTTTTTTATTTAATAGTACACAAAATAAGCTTTAATTTGATGTTATGTTGTTATGTTGTTATGTTATGTTTGGTATGTTTAAAGGACGCAGTATTTCCGGAACATTTTCAAAAATTAAGTTGAAAAAGTTATTTTTTGTAAAAAATTGACTATTTTAAATCCCCCCAGTGAGCAGAATAAGTGTTAGATTTTCAAAAAAAATTATATCAAATGAAAGGGAAATATCTAAGGTTTCAATACAAAAAAATATTATTTTTATTTGTTCATTTTTGAAAAAGTTATGGCAGTTTTAAGTACAAAAAA